GGACAGTCCAATAGAGGCGGGCAGAATCACTTGCGACGTCAAGGACTGAGAACTCCCCCAGGCTGGGTTGGACAGGAGTTGCCTCCTCTGAGTCCGTAAGGCGGGCTAAAACAGAGAAATGAAAGAAAAGGCTTAGTTACAATAGCCTTGCTCTTGGATATGCAATCCAGAAGCTAGAACATTCAGTAAAAATTGCTGCTTGTTAAGAAAACCAAGAAAGTTAATATGAAGTTACAATATTTGAAAAGCCTCCAGCCATGCTTGCTCCTGAAGCTGACCTGTGGTGGCGTCGGTGGAGAGAGGACTGGAGCGTTTGCGCCCAGAGACTCCATAGAGGTTGAACTTATATCTGCGGGAAGGAACCAGGCTGGTCACAGTGACTTCGCGGGAGCCTCCCTCCACGGGCAACGCTTGGGGTTGGCCATCGGCATCCTTGTACTGGACCAGGAAGGAGTCAAACCTCCCGGTGGGGACAGTCCAATAGAGGCGGACAGAATTACTTGTGACATCAAGGACCGAGAGGTCCCCCAGGCTGGGTTGGACAGGAATTTCCTGCTCAACATTTGGAATTGGGGCTAAAAGAGAGAAATAGAAAGAAAAGGTTATTATAAACTTTGTGCTGGTAAAAGTAACTCAGTACTCTGTTTGGAACATAGTTCTGTATAGCTTGATCTTGCTGTATTATTCTAAATTTTGAGGTGACATCAGGTGCTGGATAATATGGAACTTGTCTTCTTTATGTTAAGAATGCATCTATTGTTCTTGACTTCCTCAACAATCCTGAAATCTATCAAGAGTTTAAAAAATGGGGATTATTCAGACCTATGGACTGAATAAGATAATATAACCTAAAACCCCTTATGACCAATAAGCTCCTCCCCAGGTAAAATATTTAGATAGCGAGGCATGGAAAGGTAAAGAAGACAGACAAGTTGACTTTGGCTGCCATTTTGAAAGTAGTTTTTGGCTGTCATTTTTTTGGCTGTCAATTTTTAAGTAAAAAAATAAGTCAGGAAACACATTTTCAGGCCTTTGCCAATCATATGACTGGGAAGCTATTTCTACTTAATTAATCTGAAGGTTTTCCAGTCTTTTTAGGGCTTTTTGCTGATAACTCTATAAGAAATGACATCCAAAGAATTAGTGAAGTGTCTTTATTCCAATGCAAACCCATCCTTCCTTAACACTTGCATTTTTAATATGTCATTAGTGTCTACTTTTTAAATAAAGAAAAGGAAAAAAAGTTGGACTATTTATTTCTCCATCATTCTTAACCGATGGATGGATGGATGGAGAGAGAGAGAGAGAGAGAGAGATTGGTTTTGCATGGGTTTAATTGCGGCCCCTTTCTGTTATGCATTCTACTCCTACAAAACCCTAATGAATGGAAAGTCCCATTTCAAAAAAGTGTTAAAGTTGAAAGGCCAACCACACAAAAGACTAAGTCTGCTATTAGTCTGGAATTTAGCAAAACGTCTCTTTCCATAAGGCCATCTGATTTTGTCAAAAGATTAAAACATCAGATACAAAACTTTGAAAAAGCAGTCAAGCAGAACTTCATTTTTAGTACAGAATGATGTGACTAGCGTTCTGCCTCTCAGCCTCTTTTCTGTGCAGGAACATCTGCAAGGGGCTAAAAAGTCAAGATGGCAACTGAAAGGACGCCATCAAAGCCCTCCAACCTTTTTGCATAAGGCACATAAGCAACACGTGCAAAAAAAAAAAAAAAGTCAGGGCTTCAATTGCATGGTCACATCTGCCTTCTTGACTGTCTTGACTCCCCCGTAGACACCCAATTTTGTATATATTTTTGTATTCATCAACAGAGATAATTTTATAACTGAAGATGGAACTACCATCTGGTACTCTCTCACACAGATTAAATAAAAAGGCATTTTACTCCCACACTACCAGGAAATAAACTCATTGTTCCCACATTAATAAACTCAAGGTTGAATCATATTCCCCAGCTAAAATAGATTGCAATTTGAGCATTGGGGCAGTAAGATAGGGTAGGTAGGCAGGCAGGCAGGCAGGCAGGCAGACAGACAGACAGACAGGAAAGAGAGAGAGATTCATGGATGAAGATTTTTGGACACGTATGTCTAATGAACACCAACTGCGCATTTAGAGCTTTGTAATCTGATTGGAGAAGAAATCTCCCCCTTGCTCATGGGCTGGAAGTCTGGTGCATCATAGCCAAGAAGTTAATCACCAGCTAATCAAGTGAGTTGGCCTCAAACTCATGCCTATAAAATCAAAAGAGAAAATAAAAGCAACAGCCAAACAGGAAAGGGAAATCACCAAATACTGTATTTGAAGAAGGTCTAAATAACAGCAGGAATGTTAAGCAAGATATTGCAAAATAAGGCAACCACCTCATACCAATACTGTTAACTGAAGGGAAAGAATATTACAATGAGCCTGCAATTTCTGAAAGGCCTCAACCTAAGTTGACTCCTGAAGCTGACCTGTGGTGGCATCTGTGGAGAGGGGACTGGAGCGTTTGCGCCCAGAGACTCCAAAGAGGTTGAACTTGTATCTGCGGGAAGGAGCCAGGCTGGTCACAGTGACTTCGCGGGAGCCTCCCTCCACGGGCAACGCTTGGGGTTGGCCATCGGCATCCTTGTACTGGACCAGGAAGGAGTCAAAGCTGCCGGTGGGGACGGTCCAATAGAGACGGACAGAATCGCTTGTGACGTCAACGACTGAGAGCTCCCCCAGGCTGGGCTGGACAGGAATTGCCTCCTCTTGGTCTGTAAGGGGAGCTAAAACAGGGAAATAAGAGAAAAGGCTCAATTATAATTTCCCCGGTCTTGGAGATTCCACCCAAGAGCTGGAAGAATCAGTAAAAACGTTGCTTGTTAAGGAAATCAAGGACATTAAAATGAAATAGTAATATCTGAACAGCCCTGTTGGAGGACAGACTGCCTCAGCAGTTTAAAAGCACCTGTGCTCCTCCCCCCCCCCCCCTCCCCGGCCCCCCCCCATTGTCACGGCAACTGAGCTGCCAGTCAAACAGCAGCTTCAATGAAACAGCAGTTTTGGGCACAGGCGAGAGGGAGGGAAGGCAAGATGGCTGCCTGGGAGCTCTGCTGCCCCAGGCCGCATGAGGAAGGGGCTGAATAAGCAGAGCCAAAGTCCAGGAGAAATAAAGAGGCAACTAAAAGATAGACGGCCCTGATGCGGAGAGATAACTGGAAAGGAGGCAGCAACTGAGAAAACTGGGGAGAGAGAGGCATTTATTTCCTTCCCTCATGAGGGAA